CAAAGCCAGCTGACCTAGGAGCATATACAATGTAGCTTGTTGGGAATTGGCTCTCCTTCCCAGGATAAGTACGGAAGCGAATGAGCTGGACAGATCTGAACACGAACAAAATACAGTAGCTGGGGGTTTTGTAATTGTTGTTTTCTTTCTGTGAACCGCCAACTTCATTAGCTTCTGGAAAAAGAGAAACGTCAATGTATCTTAGATATTTTCACGTCAGCAGCTGGGATGTTGAGTGTATGTTGCTTCAGGCTGTGGGATTGGGTCAAGGTGCACTCTTTCTGTCTCCTATTCTGGCTCATACTGATCTCCAGGGCAAGCTGTCCTTGTGGCAGATACCGGATATTGGGTGTGCAGAGCAGCCAACAGAGACACACTGGTCTCCAGAGGCCTAGGCTCTGAACTGACATATTGTCACTTCTGCCTATATTCCAAAGCCCAAAGCCAGCCACACAGTGAAGGGACACTAGCCCATTGGGGTATGTGGCTCTGGCAAGCCTTGCCCTTCTCCCCAACCCCTCTGCCTTTCTATAGAAAACCATTAGATTACATTCCTAAAGCTAGCCACCAAGGTCTATTCCCTTATTTGGCCACTTCCTTCTCCTGAGGCTGACTACCAAGGTCCAACTATCAAAGTATTGTCATCCATAAATTCAAAAACCCCCTTTGACTCACTTAATTAACATGCCTAATTAAAATTAAACATCTCATCTAACACTGGGTTTACCCTTTTACCCCTATAAACTGCCATTTGCCTATAGGCCACCCCTAACTCCTCTCTATCCAGAGGCAGTCCTTTGGCCCCCAGTCCTTTGTCCCCCAAGACAAATACCCCTTCTCCCGCTCCCTTGTTCCCTTCTTCTCTCCCTTGCCTTCTATCTCTTGTCTTTGTCCCTTATCCCTACCCCCTATCCCTCTGGGGCAAATCAATCTCCTTTGTGCTGAGAACAAGGTTCCCTACACACAGACAAGCCCCAAAGTCAGTGGGCGAAGATGAATGTTCTTCCCAGTCTTTTATAAGGTGTTACTTCATAGATTCATAGATAAAAGAATTTACAAACAGACTAAGAGGGAAAGCCAAGAATAATTTTATTGGTGTTTGTAATTAAGAAAACAAACAGCAGCTGTTTGGAGGGAGCTGGCTAAGAGGAAGAAAGTCGTGCTTTCTGAGTAGAGGCCAAGAACACAGACAGGTGTAGCCCTGGAAATCTGCCAGCAGCTGCAAAGGGTGAGGGAGGCTGGTGTTTGGAAGTAGAGCGATCTTTGGCATCTAGGTAAGCAGGTTTGGGATTTGGGCCAGCCTCACAAAAAAAGGCTAGTGAACCGGTGGAACTCAGTCAAAGTCACATTTTTTAATTAGAATTCAGAAATCAGGTTGGCTTATCAGTGAAAAGCTATAGCCACTTCGAAGACAGAAGGAAGGGCTTCTGGGACATAAGCACCGGTTCTTCTCAGCTTCCTAGCTTGTCTTTAGATGCACCATGGTTCTTGATGTTTCCGGAATGGACAGTTTTCCTGTCCAGGTGATTGATGGCCCATTTGGATCATTTTTAAAAAAAAAAATTTATTTTTGTTGTATATAGTTGAGAAAGGGGGGGGGAGAATATGCATACACATGAGTATTAGTGCCCACAGATGCAAGAGGCCCTGGATTCCCTGGAGATAGAGTTACAGGTAACTCTGCCCAATATGGGTGCTGGGTAGTATGGACTCTTACTATTTAGCCATTGATCCAGCCCTCTTGGATTAACTGTCTGCTTGCTTGCTTGCTTGCTTGCCTGCCTGCCTGCTTGCTTGCTTGCTTGCCTGCTTGCTCTTTGGCAGACAAGTTCTCTCTATGGAGCCCTGCCTGGCCTGAAGTCAGTATGCAGACCATGCTGGTCTTGAACTCACAAGGATCAACCTACCTGCCCCCTACTCTGACAGAGTGCTGGGACTACCAGCCCAGCATGCACCACATCCAGTCTCTTTCTTTTTTAAGCAGAGTGAACATAGATTTATCAAGGCAATGTTAGACAAACCTTTCAAGAATGAGAGGGGCTGAGAATGAGGAAATACCTAGAGTTGTTCCCCCCACTTTAAAAATTCATTAGTGAGGGCTGGAGAGATGGCTCGGCAGTTAAAAGTGCTGACTACTCTTCCAGAGGTTCTAAGTTTAATTCCTAGCAACCACATGGTGGCTCACAACCATCTGTAATGGGATCTGATGCTCTCTTCTGATGTGTCCGAAGACAGCTGCAGTGTACTCATATAAATAAAATAAATAAGTTTTTGTTTTTTAAAAAATCCATTAGTGAAGTACTTCCACTCAGAATGCTCAACACTGGACATGTGGACATTATCCACTTCTAACATCACGTGATTGTAGCTCAATTCTGATGCTAAGTATCTTTTGGCAGTTCTGGGGAGCATACTGAGCTCACTGAGTAACAAGTTAGGCATATCCTCTACCTCTGAACTACATCCTAGCTCCTGTCCTGTGATGATTAACTTGATTTAGTGCAAGTGAACATGCTAAGGCCCCAGTCCCAGAGGCCTCCTCCCTCTCTTCGAATGACAACCATAAGGCCTAAGTCAATGCTCAGACTGACCGATCAGCTCTAAACTGCAGGTTTCTGAGACCCCCTTCTTCAGGTTTAGCAATTCTTTAGAATAGCTCAGAGACCCCAAAGAAAGCTACTCTATCACTTTATTAGCTCTTCCCATGCCCTTAAACTGCTGAGGCGAAGTTCTTGACAGAAGCCACTTAAAGAAGGAGAGGGCTTCTTTGGCTCACAGTTTATATGGTATAGCCCACAGCACCTAGGAAAGCCTGGCAGTGGAGAGGCTCAGTCCACGGCTGCAGGCGCTTGCAGTATGGTTTGTTCACACCCTGGCAGATCAGGAAGCAGAGCACTAGCCCAGATCCGGACAGTAACCTGCCTCCACCAGTGAAGGCCCATCTTCCAAAGATCTCAAGACCTCCCAGAGTCACCCCACCACTTGGGGGAGATCCCAAGAGTCCAAAACCCGAGCCTGTGGGAGACACCTCATGTTCAGACATAACATTCACTCCAAAACAGCCAAATCAAAGAAGAGATGGGCAGGACAAGGTGGGAGAGCATGGGGAACAAGGAGTATCCATGTTCCTTTTCCCGGCATGCTACCCTCCAAAGCACCCCAGTATGGCCACCAACCCAGTTTTCCAAATCTCATAATTGGGAGCAGAGGTATGGAGACTGTACCTCAAAGACGTGATTTATTTAATCATTGGCTTTTGGTGTTGAAATCAGATCCCCATTCTCCACCCACTAGAAGCTTGGGTTGAGACAGAGAATTCTAGTCCTTTAACCACATGGTTGGTCCATCCCAAAGCTATCTAGGGACCCACCAAAAGTCATTTTCATAACATAGCTTAGATGTGGTTAAAGGAAGCTTGCTATGAATATAAAAAGATGTTCCTCTTCCCTCACCACTGAATGATACAGGGTTGGTTCAACATATGAAATCAATAAGAATAATAAATCATATAAAGAGAATTAAAGACAAATATGACACGACCATCTCAGTAGCTGCAAAAAAAGGCCTTTGACAAAATGCTTTCATGGTAAAAGTCCGAGATGGGACAGGACTGGGGCGAATATACATCAATATAAGAGAATCGCTACATGACAAATTATTCTAAACAGAGAACAAATTCAAAGCAATCCCATTACAACCAGGAACGATTCAGGGCTGTCTGCCCACTGTCCCTGAGTTTTGAAGCTGTGCCTGCCACCGAGAGCAGCGTCCCAAATTGTATCTCTTACAGCATCACAGTGACTTTCCCACATGGTAAGCATAGTGTTTGCTACCACGAGCTTTTTGACCACTTCAGTACATCCAGACCAACAGGGTGACGTCTGCCGTGCCCACGGGTTCCCACTTCCCACCACTTCCCCCCTGTGTTGCCTGCAATCCCAAGACACCAAACCACACTCTGTTCCCTGCCCCACCTCCCAACCGAATCTTCCGTTTGAAGCATCAAAAGTTTACTTCCGTCTTCATTCTATCTTCCCCCTGGTGGGCCTGAACCACAACTAAGTCCTTCTAAACAATTGTCTCTGCTACTTGTGGTTTCCATTGGTGTATTCAGCGGGTCCACCAAGTTCGGGTCTTTTGGAATTTGTTCAGTCCCCACCCTCCTTTGTCTCTGTCCCCTCTTTCACCTTGAGCTCCCTTAGCCCATAAACTAGGGAGCTATTCTTTGAATCCCAAGGGAATTTCACCTCCACCAAGGGATTTCTCAGGTTTCTGTGTTAGTCCACTGTACACGTTTGCAACCCCGGCCCAGCCGTCACCAGATTTTAACCATGTCTGTACACTGCATGAAGGGAGTTGAGCAGAACTTTGCATTAAAGAGGACTTTTTTTGTGGTATCAAATAGAATCCAAGCAGCGCTATTTGGATTCTAGCGTTGCTTTGTATTTCTCTATAGACTCTTTGCTTATGAAGCAAGCTCCATTTGGGCTTACTTCAGGAGAAACGGAGATTTCAGCTCATTACTTACAAAAGGTGTTTCATTGTATTAGGCAAAGGAGAACAGGGAGAAGACTGACACAGTTGAATAATGAAGGAAGGAAATGAACCAATTCCTGCTTTGGGGAAGTATCTAACAGCTGTGCACCCAGCTGCAGGAGAGAAAACAATGGGGGCGGGGCTGGGGCTGTGTATCCTGAAGCCACAATGTACATTTCTAAGAGTTATTTGCATATTCTGTTCATAAATGCCATTTCAAGACCCCAACTGCCTTGAGGGTGGGGTTGCTTCAGGGAATATTTTATGCAGAAAATCATTAACTTCCAGAACGATGAGAAAGTTATCCCAAATGAATGAACATCAACCATGGCTTCTGCAGGAAGGGAAACATTACTTTTCTACTGTAAGAGTTTACTTTCTGGAAATTACCTGCCCTCCAACTCAATAAGATTTCCACCATCACTTAAAGAGATGTTCATTTTTTTTTCCAAATGAGAAGTCTCTTGCTATTACGTTTAGTTTATTGTCTTGGTTGAAAGCAGCTCTTCAATAAAATATGTATAATATTGTTGAATGGAGAATAAAACGAGGTTGTCCCTAGCTCAGTAGACAGAATTGAAGTAACAATTGATTTAATTAGGCAAAAAGGGCATGTCAGTGGGGTTTTCTGAAGCCTTGTAAAATACAATGTAGGGAAGGCGATTCTATCAAGCTTGTATTTACAATTGTGGGAGGTGTATAATTGCTATATAAATATTCATTGAGATTCTTGAGTGAAACCAGGTACAAATGAAACAAGGGAAGTCCAACATCAGGTTTCTGTTCCGAGGAGGACAAGGAGACAGCCCCTCCCGGTGTCCATCACTGCACATCCCAGATCTCGCAGAGGAGTGGGGTGAACTTGTGGTCATTCACCCTCCAAGACATCAGCATCTCAGCGTGGTGATGGTTGAATGTCCGGAGTTCCGTCAAGCGACCCAGGAGGCAGGCAAAATGCTGCGGGTTCTCAGGCTGGTAGATCTTGCACAGTTTTTGTAGCACATCAAGTAGAGGTTCCTGAAGCTTCTCCACTGCCTCTCTATCCTTTATGTATTGTCTGTCTATGTGAGGGTTTGAAATAAAATAGCAAGATTTTTATAAGTGAAAAAAAACAATAATCGGGAGTAATTATGGCAATTGCTAGTCTTTTTAAAGTGTGTGTGTGTATGTGTAGAGTGCACTTAGATGCACAAAATTTTCAATGTAATAAAATTACTTGCATCTACATACACACATATCTATGCATATACATACAAAGATATATACACATATGTTTATAATGGACTTATATGTAGACCAAGATAGGGAACACCAAATGCTCCCAGAAGTCCCCCTAAACTCTCTTCCCAATCAAAGTCACAGAACAGGTATAAGCATCCTTTCTCAGGGAACATTCTCATACTTCCTGGGTCATAGGGGATCTGTGTGTGTAACTCTAGGTGGCTCTGCCAAATTTTTTCTTCCTTCCCCTCAATCATAATTATTAATGTCCAAAGAATACCAACTAGCAGCTACCTATTTATCACATATAAAAAAATCATCTAAGGCTAGCACAGTCTGTTTTACAAATTACACAGTAGTACTTGCCCCCAAATTATTAAAGTCAACTTTGAAAATAGATTTTTATACAGAGAGATATTTGGGGCTACAATGTTTAAAACAGTAATAAAATTAGAAGCACATAATTATACAAACAGTGACTATTAAGAATGTCTTTGAAGAGCTATACAGTGGACCATTCTAACTTTTAACAAGAGCCTTGTAAAGAGTTTCCTAAAGGATACACCAATCTATGCTAGGTTACAATTTATAACATGCCTTTGATGTTTGTGCACAAGTATCCGTGTCTCCAATGCTACAATGTACACAGTATCTTTGATGTTCGTGCACAAGTGTCTCTCCTAAGAGCCCTTCCTGACAACTAATAAACGTGCCATTCTCTCTCCCACCTCCTGCCCATCCAGCCTCATCATTGTAAGTTTTTTGAGATGAATTCCCACTGTGCAACCCAGGTTGAGCTCAAATTTGTATGCTTCCTTTATCAGCCAAGTGCAGACATTACAGGCACTGGTCACTGGGCCTGTCTATTATTATTGCATAGTTTGTAGACATTTTGTTATCTTCCTCATTTTTCTAGAACAATAGCCTCGTAGGAGCGCTATTCAATTTACTCCTAAAGCTTACAGCCATATTCGATGTGTAGGAGATGTTCAATGGGCAGTTATAGAAACCACAAGGGTATTTTTTTATATTAACTGAAAGTATATTAAGATAATAGTAATGTTGTATTTGAGTTTTACTTTCTTTTTGTGTCTCTGTGTTTTCCGTGTTTTCTTTAATCCGCATCCTCATGACTATGCTGAGAAAGACGCAAACAGTATAAAAATACAAATATGATAGTATGATTACCTGGAGAGAGGATGACAATTGCTGTGAGCAGAGCGTACTCCTCCTGAGTCATTTTCAGCTCCGCAACACTTTTATAGAAACTGAACATCGGGGTTATGTACTCATCAGAGATGCCTGTGTGGGAAAGTTGAAAAAGGCACAGTTACTGTAACAGGTTTTTAGTTCTAGGTATCATTATTGTGGGGAGTGTTGTGTATGTGCATGTATGCGTGTACATGCATGTGCACGTGTGTGTGAACATGTGGGTACATGTAGAGGTCAGGCTACAACTCTGTGGCACTGGTCCCCTCCTTCACATGGATCCTAAAGATCGAAGATCTAATGATGTAATGATCAAAGCCAGAAACATGTGACCATTCACATTTGTTTCCATGCACACACAATCATTTAATTATAATAAATTATACATCTCAGCCACAGGCAGTGTGTGGTAAGAAGACCGGTAAGCAAAATCTTCCAAGGATAGCCTCCTGTAGGATGCGTTTGTCTTTGTTTGGCCACCAGTGTGCAACAACAAATGATAATGTTCCTGGGTTAGAAGAATTCCCGTAATTGCACCATTTTCTGGGTGGGGAGCCTGTTACTTTAAACAATATCAATAGATACACTCAAGATAAAGAGTAACTTTAACAAAGAACCTTAAAGCATGGTTGTGCTTCCATTCAGAAGCAGAAGCATCCTCACTGAGTAAGCTGGCCAGAGTTCTTATGAATGGGTTTGGATCTACCTGAAGTACCCATTGCCTACCGTTCACTTAGCAGTATGGGGTCACTGTTTTCAAACTCAGTACGTCAAATATGAAAGATTTCAGGTAGGGAGCAACCCCCCGACTTTCCCCTAGCCCATGTCTAAATGTCTCTGTTTTCAGTGCTAGACATCTTTGGCATCCAGTTGTCCAGGTTGACATTCTGGTGTGTGGTCCTGTGGGCCTCATGGCTTCTCTTCACTCCAGGGTGGCTTACCTAACTACAGCTCTTGGCACTGAGTTAGTTTCACCCAATCATCTCGCCTTCTGTGGCGTATAGCAACTGCCTCCTCATTCATCTTCCTGTCTTGTTTAACTTTCTTTAACACAGTCTCTATCCAGATAACGGAATGGCCCCCCATAAACTTCAACAAATCACATCCTTTTTCCTCACTTGTTACACACCTTCAGGACCTTTTGATGACTTTTACCATATGCATGTTTTTCTTTTAAATGGGGACCTCTGCCTCTTTCACCATCCAAGACTGTAGCTCACTGAGTCAATTTACCGGGTCCTCAGCACGCACTATGCTATGTGATAGGTACTTCTCAGTCACTCCTTTCAAGCCCACCATGTCAAATACCAAAGACACCAGGGATAAACCAAACCCTCCCCATTTCCTACAAATCCTCTCATTTCCTGCTGTTTTTTCATTAAATTTTCTAAAACCCCTCCAGACCAGCAGTCTCAGTCTTCCTAAGGCTTTGAACTTTTAGTACAGTTCCTTGTGTTTTGGTGACCCCACCACCACCATAAAATTTTTTTGTTTCTACTTCAGAAGTGTAATTTTTGTGACTGTTATGAATTGTAATGTAAATAGCTCTATGCAGGCTATCTGATACATGATAGGCAGGTTGAGAACTACTGTTACTAGCTAAATACAGAAAAGTCAGTAAGTTGCCCAAAGAGACAGAGCTAGTGAGAGGCAGCACCATGACTCCAGCCAAAGTTGGCAGGCTTTGGCTCAGTTTCCCCTACTTTTCCATCATACAATTTCCCTCTAGCCAGGTTCAACTTCAGTTTCCCTCAACAATTCTGTTTTCCTGGTGTCTGTACACCCACCACGGCTGTCTCTACTTGGAATCCCCTTACTCCCCTTGAACTTTATTCTTGTTTGTAATTTAAGAAAAATTGTGTCTTTTTTTCCTACTTGCTCAAATATTAATTTGGAGCTTGTACTACACATGGTCTCATTCCAGAGAAGAACTGGTTAGGGAATCAAGGAGTCAGGAGGGACGTGGATATGACTTGCTGATGCCTGGAGAAGAGGATCTGTCTCCCAGGACTGGTCCACCTGAGAATCCATTGCTTTCTTCCTTTCTAAGCCAAATCTAGAGCCACCGAATTCTGGCCGAGCCCAATCAGAGTATAGTTGGAGTCCCGACGCTTAAGAGTATGACTATGAACGTATACACCTTATAAAGTCAGTTTGTCAGCAAGTCAAATCCTCACCCTCACACGAGCTTGAAGTCTCTTCCAATCTGAGCCCTCAGCCTCTCCCAGAGATTCAACACACCACATGCCACTCTCCCCTCCTCCGTCCTTTGATTATGTGTTTGACCTCAGTGGATTCTCTCAACAGCTAAGCCTTTGTTTAACAAGTGGGAGATTACATCAGATGGGAGAGTGCCCTTTATCCAGCTGCTACATAACTACCCATGACCAGACCAGATACAATGTTCAAGGACTGGAGTGTGAACCTGGGAATGCCGCCCAATGTTTCCAACACAGGGTTAGAGGTTGTGAGTCAACTCCTGAGCCAGGGGACCAGAATGTCAGCTTCGAGATAGTGTCTCCTAGATTTGTCATGTACTACAGTCATGACATCTCAACAATATGACTGGCTACATGAGATCTGCATAGTAATCACATCAGTGGTTTAGCCAACATGGATACGGGAGACTTCCCAAGTCTCATTCATATAGTATTACATAAGAGAACACAGAGAGCATTTTCCTGCAAACCCGCCTCACAGTAAGCCCTCAATGGTGGGGCAGGCTTGTAATTCCAATTAACTGGAGCCTGAGGGAGGAAGATGGTCAGTGCAAGCCCTGCCTAAGCTACAGGGCAAGTCTAAGGATATCTGGGCCACCCAGTGAGACCCGAAAGCTACTTCAGAGATCCACAACTGGGCAAAGTGCAGAGAGTACATGACTGTGGAAAGCCCGGTTGCAGGTATTACATCTGCAACCTCACCCCAGCACCTAAGGCTCTGGGAAATTACAAGAGCCAGGGGACCAGAATGTCGGCTTCGTGATAGTGTCTCCTAGATACGTCAGGTACTACAGCTGTGCCATCCCAACAATATGGCTGCCTACACATCAGTGGATAAGCCAACATGGGGGAAACGTAAGTTGGAGCAAATCAAGGGCTGGTAAGAGAGAGAGAATCCATTTTCTCCAGGGATGAGCTCCCTGATCAGCTACCTAATCCCAAGTGGTCTGCCCTAAACCTATACATATAAAACCAGTTCTGAATGGATGCAGTTGATATGAGAGAAGGGGTCTTGAGTTCAAGAGCAGAGCACAGAAGGAGTTGGGGGAGGGGGTAGTGTAGATACAGTATCCAGGTGTACAATTCTCAAAAAAAATTAAGTAAAAATAAGATTCCAAAAAAGTCAAAATAGAGCCAGAGAAAGCACTTTAACGAGCTAGTGGTAGGCTCTGAGTTTAATCCTCAGTACTCCCCAAATGAAAATGAATAGGTAATCATACCATTTACCATTGTTAAGCAGATGAATTGCATTAACAAACTAATTCATCATGACCTCAGTCAGTTTTAGTCTAGATTTGTGTCTCTCTGCCTTTACAAAGCTATTTTTTTTCTTAATTTCATGTGTGTTGGAGGCTATGCCACAGTGCCCATGGAGGGTCAGGAAACAGCTCTCAGGAGTCAGTTCCTTCTTGTGCATCCTAGGGATCAAACTTAGACCATCAGTCTCGGCAGCAAGAGCCCCCATCTGCTGAGCCATCTCACCGGGCCAGTATTGTGTGTACACGCATGTTTGTATGTGCATATGTTTTTGTTTTTTTTAAATCTTCCATTTTTTGTTTTTTTGACACAGGGCCTCTCTATGTAGCCCTGGCTGTCCTGGAACTCACTGTGTAAACCAGGCTGGCCTCTGCCACCCAAGAGTGGGGATTAAAGGCATGTGCCACACTCTGAGCTAAAAGATCATTTTTCTTCCTCCTGGGGGCAATTATTCAACCAGGGATTTGCCTCAGGATTTTTCTGAACATTAAAGCAAAACAAATATTTGTAACTTTTTTCTTTTACTTTTTTCTCCTTTCTTTCTTTCTTTCTTTCTTTCTTTCTTTTTTTTTTTTTTACTAAAGATGTTCTTTTTTACTTTTAAAATTTTATCAGTCTTAGCTGTAAATGGAGGTACATGTCTCTAATCCCAGCACTGGAGAGACTGAGGTAGGGGGATGTTGAAGTCAATTAGCAGTCCAAGGCGCATAGCAAGACATTGTCTAAAGTCAAGAAAGGCTGTCTTCATGCCTCTTCCATATTCAGGGTCTGCACCTATCTGGAAAGATCACAAAAAAATGCACAGTTGGGCCAGAACCTTACTTTATTCTGTTTTTAAAGAGAACCTCAGTAAATTCTTGAAAGTTATTAACTTGTCTAACAGATTTATGTGGAACAATTCATTTTTATTGAATTTTTTTCAAAATACATTTTAAATTTGGAGTGGGGAGGGGTTCGAGACAGAGTCTCTCTGAGTAGCCTTGGCTGTCCTAGAATTTGCTCTACAGACCAGGCTGACCTCAAATTCACAGCGATCCTCCTGCCTCTGCCTTTTGAGAGCTGGGATTAAAGGTGTAGGCCTCCACCTCCTGGCTCATTTGAATTAGCTGGTATGGCTACCAAAACAATCTGTTTCTAGCCAAAGTATATTCATGTTTTTACAGGCATGTGTGCACATGAATACACTTTCTATTTCCCATAGCTGTATCTTGTGTGTCAGCATCGGCATACATCATTAAACAGACTAAAGACTGGGTAAAGAAATGTACAGAGAGACATGTCACACCTGGATGTATTTGTTAAAGAATTACCCGTTCTGTTTGCCAGTGACCACCCATACTTTTGGTCATTGTTGAAGGACTCAACCGTCTGAATGAGCAATTTCATTTTTATTATTTTGAACCACTGACTTATTTATGAATGACTGATTCATCCCAGGAAGTGGCTTTCAAGAGTACTGATCTGTTAGCGAATGTCTCACGAAGCATACATAACTTGTTTCCTCGGAGTGTGTAACCAGCGGGCAAGCTAAGGGGCTTGAGTGTAGAGTAGAATAAGCCCTTAGTTATGAAGTCATAAAAATACTGCTATTGTTTGTTTATGTATGTATATACATAC